CACCGGTTTTTGCTCCTTGCAAAAAATATTTTTTTTGATTGTTTTATATTCCATGATCATAATGGCTTGGAAGCATGAGGCATTAACTAAGCTTTTTTAATGCAAGAAAATTGCTTTTTAAGTCCAATTTAGCTCTTAACCTGTTGCTAGGAGAATTTGCACCAGTTTTTGCTCCTAGCAAAAAATCTATTGTTTGATTGATTCTTGTTCCATGATCGAAATATATTGGAAGCATTAGCATCAATTAAGATTTTTTAATGCAAGAAAATGGTTTTTAAGTCCAATTAAGCTCCTAACCTGTAGCTAGGAGAATTTAAACTGGTTTTTGCTCCTTGCAAAAATTCTATTTTTTGATTGATTTTTATTCCATGATTGAAACGGCTCGGAATTTTTTTTTTAAGTCCAATGAAGCAAAGGATTTTCATCTGGTTTGAGAGTTTTGGTCAGTGGCTTGTTGAAACTTTTTGGGATCAAAAAGCTATACTGTGGGAGAAATTCTTATCGGTGATGGAAATTAAAAATTGTTTGACTTTTACTCTTGGGAGTTTGTTGGACTTTTGTTAAGTTAGATTGCTTTATCATTAATTATTATCACTAAATTGACATTGAATTAATACATTCAAACTTGTCCACGACTCTCCAATTTAATTATCAGTATCAATTTGATGCAGAAGAAATGCCAAATTATGCTTGTCCGTGGCTCTTTCAGCTTTTCATGTTTGTTCTTCTGCTTACTTGTCCATGCACACATTGTTTAACTATTTGTATCAGATGAATATGTAGAATATGGTTTTTTTATGTGATTCCATCACAAAATTTTACAACTGATTTACAGGTATTCCTTGATTTGCCTGAAAAGGACATGAAACAAATCAATGCTCTATTCCGTGAGGTAATTCAACTCACTCTTGGTTGATCTCTTACTTGTGCTTGCTCTATAAAGTCAATTGAGTGTCTTGCAGTTGGAGGCACAGTTTCTATCTGAAAGTGGAAAGGAAAGGAAAAAAAATAATATAATGGTATTATTGTTCTGTTTTGTAGTTGGAGGTGGTAAAAAGAAAAATTAAGGCTTGTGCATCAGATGAGGAGGTTGAATCACTGAAATTCACAGAGAAGAATCTTATTAACAAGGTATGAAATGGTATGCATGATATGATTGCATGGTCATTATTGCCTACTTCATCTTCATCATTTAAGTGTGATATGTGCACGTTACCTATTTGTACATGTACTATCAAATCAGAATGACATGTCTCTGTTCTTGTTCTTTTTTTTTTTTCACTTCATTAAATACCAAGGACAGAATTTTTTTTGCCACAAATGTCCTCGCTACCCATCTTGCACAACTTCATTATCCTGTCACTGCTTTATTGAATTGCAGATATATACTGATTCTGCTGAAGCCAAGATATCTGGAGTTCTAGATTATCTGGGAACTGTCATTGAGGTGATTTCATTCTCGATATCTTTCTTTAATGCATGTTTCTTTACTCTCCAGGGGTGCTCTTCTATTGCTTACGAGCAAGAGAAGGTTGGTTTATGGTCCTACCTCGTGTTTTCATCTTGATGATAATCATGCTGAAGTCAGATTCACTATAATGTCTGCATATTTGTAATGCTAGTTTCTGTTGCTAAAAGCTTAAATATTCTAGGTGTCAAATTTCGTTGTATTTTGTTGTTACAATTCTAGGACCTTTATTAGATTCTGGAGCATGTATGAAAGATCAAAAACCTGTATGGGGTACACTTAAATTCTATTTCCTATTGAAGCCCATCCAAGTAGCAGCCTTGGCTTTGGTAGTGTGAGTTGATTAATCAATTGTTTTGTCCTTATTAAATACTAACTAAAAGCAGATTTCTGATCCATGGTGCAATCTTATGTGAAAGTAAAAGCAGATTGGCTCAATTTACACCACACCCCTTATCTTTACTCCAAGTGAGCTTGGATGTAGTTATAATTACTGTTTTCAATATTTTTCCATCTGCCCTGAGGTTTATTTACTCTTTGAAATTGCTTTCCAGTTTGTCCACTTTTTAATGGTTAAATCACTGGTGTTGCATTGTTCCTTGCAGGCAGGATGCAAGTTTCTGATTTTTGCTCACCATCAATCCATGATTGATTCAATACATGAGTTTCTTCTTGTAATACAACTTTCATATGACTGAAATTTTCCTTGCATCGACTTATTCTTATGAGATCTTCCAAATTCCAGAAAAAGAAAGTGGGTTGCATCCGAATTGATGGCAAAACCGCTGCAGCTTCAAGGCAAGCATTGGTTACTGATTTTCAGGAAAAGGATGCTATCAAGGCAGCAGTGGTATGCCAATTTGTTTCATTTATTTACTTGCCTTTTATTTTTGTACCTTAATATTGATGCTATATTGTGATGCTATTCTTCCCAAAATCACTTACCATAAAATTTCAACCATTGGATTTATGGGATCCTTTCCCTTCAATGCATTAGATTTTTTCAGAAGAGTACTGGGTAAGATTAGCATTACTCTTGATACTATGTTTCAAATTGACTGAATTTTGGTGCAAGTTGTGCGTTGAGTCCTTATGGTTTATCTGTGAAAATGTATTTGTGAAGCTGTCTATTAGAGCTGGAGGTGTTGGGTTAACTTTAACAGCTGCAAGCACTGTTATTTTTGCGGAATTATCTTGGACACCAGGTGACCTAATTCAAGCGGAAGACCGTGCTCACAGGATTGGTCAGGTAAACTACAGTCAACCATGAATGTTATTTCTAGATTTATATAAAACCATTAATATACGTTGTTATCAATTCTGTTAAGGGTATAATTTGGTGCTGGTTCACATTGCAATAGGCTGATTTGTTTTGATTAAGAATCAGAACACTGCATTTAGTATGGTGAGATTTTGTTTGGCCTGGTAATCAATCATACAACAAATGGAAGCCTTGTATTAGCTTGCTTAGGCTTTAACCTAATACTAGGGATTGGATGTATGATTTTCCAATTTACTGTAATTCCACATTAGTTTTTCTTACTGAGCTCTCAAAAGATGCTGCTTAGTGTTCTGTGCTAAATGGTGGTGATGAGTAAGAGCTTGCACATGCATTACATTGCTGTGGATAGTTGCTTGTGCAACTGAATTAGTTGTGGAGGCACATTGATAAGTTTTCTGATTTGGAACTATTCAAAGGCATGGTGGTGGAATTTTTGGATGGTAGGTGGTGCCCTTAGCATTGGTAGATGAATAAATGAAAGAGTACTGGTTATGTGTATGATCTGCAGGCAATCTAGAATTCTGAAATTTATACAATCTCTCTCTGGAAAGATGATTTTGATTTTATGCTGCCCTAATGATTTGGGGTTGGTGTAGTTTCCTTTAGATGGTTCATTAAATCTTTCATGGTAGGATGCTTTTGATGGCATGTTAGTAATGATCATGAATGTTTTGGTCCAAATGATTCAGGAACCAATAAGCTTGAGTTCCATTCTCCGAATACATGCACTATGCCAGGATTTGATCCCAAGACCCTCCTATATGCTTACAGTGCAACCAGAGCAATAGAGCTAATCTCTTCCAGCATTTTTATTTGGTGAATCAATTAATTGGAGTTCTATTAGGATGCCTCTTTGTAAAGTTAAATGGACTCACACACACCCTTCAGAACTGCAATCTGCTTTTCCTGTTTTACTGGGGCACCCGTGTTTGCCTATATTTGTCACAACTTACTAGATAGATGAAACTGCAGTAAATATCTAGATAATCCTTGCTTGAGATTGTATTTTTTTAATGGATTTCACATGTATCTTTTAATCCTAGCATGTTTGAGTATTGTATGAGATCATAGTTCGAGAGGTAATCGAGCTCTGAGAAATGAAGTTATGGGGCTTACTTTCTCTGGAGTTTCTCATTTACTCAAATTTTGTTTGAATGTGCCCAATGTTTTGACATGATTTGGTTCTTGCTTTCTAGGTTTCTTCAGTCAATGTATACTACCTGCTAGCAAATGACACAGTTGATGACATCATTTGGTATGTTCACTTCGGTCACACTTGGCTCGAGACTTGACTTAACTCAGATGCTTGAGCATTGCTTTAGGCATTTGTTATGATCTCGCTCTATCAATGCTTGTTAGTTTGACATGATATTTTTCTTCAGGGATGTTGTTCAAAGCAAATTGGAAAATTTGGGACAGGTGATTTTACAAGCGCTGGGCATTTCTTTAGTGTTAGTTTGTAGCAGGGTATCTGTAGTGATTTAGTGCGGTGGGGTATCCGTAGTTATTTAGTGCTTATATGCATTTGATTCTATTTATTGATCAATTAGATGCTTGACGGGCAAGAGAAAACCTTGGAAGTTTCAGCCAGCCAGCAGAGAAGCAGCCCTGCGAAGCAGAGAACACTCGACACTTACATGAAGCGATGTAGCAATTTGGATGCCTCTGAACATCAGCCTAAGCTCAAAGTCCCCAGGCACTGAATGACTTGCAATCGAGAATGGAAGAGTATTTATACATGCATATGCATTGTTTGCTGTATGCAATGGTGGTGTCATCATACTGCAGGTTGTTTTCCCAGTCCTCTCTGCGCAAGTGGGATTATTAGTCAATTGGTGCACGTCAGCACTCATACGAGAACGACCCATGAATTAAAACAAATCAAATTGCAGACTGCTACACTGATACAGGCTTGTAAATGGTTGTGTAATGATATTCATTTGTATAGCAGCCACTGCTGGAAATCGCTGTTTTTCCACGAGTTTTTGGAAGAGTTGATGCATTAACTGTAGCATGTGAAAACAGCCTAACAGGCCTTGAACTGTACATCAGGAATTGTCAAAAATAGTATTCTGCAAAAATATATGGTGGTGTTACAGTAAAATCTTAAATGGAAAACATTTGAGGTAAGTGCACTACGACAGTTAAAACTCTTTGTAACCTAAGCTTCGAAGTTTTGCCATAAGCTATCAGAATATGACGGCAGTATGTCTCTTAGACTACCGGATTACCAGAGACGAAAGGGCGACCTTCAGAAAAATGAGGAGTGATGTAAACGACGGCTTTGCCATTAGAATATTTATACTTACACAGTGAAAAGAGAGTTTTATCTGGCCATGCCAATAACAATGTAGGCCATAAGGGCGACCTTCAGAAAAATGAGGAGTGATGCAAACGACGACATTGCCATTAGAATATTTATACTTACACTGTGAAAAGAGAGTTTTATCTAGCCATGCCAATAACAATGTAAGCCATAAGCAGGAAAAACACCATTTCAAGCCACAAGGGATGCAAAAAGCTACAGTGGATAACAGCAGTAAGAGGTGATGATGCTAAGTTGCAAGTGCAACACTCAACTCTTTCCCAAAGAAATTCGCGACGATAACATCTACATCCTCTAAACCAACCCCAATGCAGAGAGGATTAGCAGCCGGAATCCTTACAGAATCAGCCACTCCCTCATTATCACATTTCAAAATCCTCACATTAGGACCATCCCTGCACTTCCCCATACACTTGCATCCAACAACAGCACCCCCTATACCAACAGCCCTCTCAAATTCTTCCAATAACGCTACACCTCCAGACTTCTTGCACTTATTACCCATGCAAACCTCAATTCTGTTATCAGATGTTCCTGACATCATGGAGGAACTTGTGGGATTACAACTAACCCTAATAGCATTGCTACAACTGGTGCTTTGCACACCGCAGCATTCTTCTCCATGGATTCCCAAACCATGATTATGAAACCCATTAATCTCTGTAACGTTCGATTCTTGAGTCAGCAAGGCCGGGAGGATTGAAGTTGGTTCTTCCTGAGCAACTGATTGCAATTCCCCAATAATTGGCTCTGCAACTGCTTCATTCTTCAAACGCTTCATATCAATCACCTCCCCACATTCGCTGTCGCTCGATTCAGACGATGAGGATGATTCACAGTCAAGCTTGGTTTTCATCTTTACAGCTTTCAGCTTCGCCTTCTCTTCTTTCTTCTTCTTCTTTAACTCCTTCTTCTCAGCTCTTAACTGTTCCAACTGTTTCATCAGCAATTGTGTTGCTTCCTGCTTACAGAGTTTGATAACGAAAAACACTCAGAAACAGATTTGTTCTGATCTAAATGCACAGGCTATTCAGTATTCATCACCAAAATCTTCCCAGATAAAAACGGGAAATTAAAAAAAAAAGAAAAAGAGGCACAATTTGGTTTTCAGATAAAATCTTGATTAATCCCCATCTAAACTACTAATCAAACAATCAAGATTGGTTTTCAGATCATGTTAAATCACTATCTCCATAAATTCCAATAAGCAGACAGCTTCAATTCGACCTTTGGATAAATTAAGCAAACAAAAGTTGTCAACTTTCAGCTTCTTGAAGATCAAACACCATTACTTACCAAAAAAAAAAAAAGATCAAACACCACCACCAAGCAAATAATCAGAAGCACAACTTATGACACAAACTTAATCTTGGAATTAGTAAATCTCAGACATGCATCTAAAAGATAAAACAAGAAAAGGAAAAACATACAGCGATAAGGTTGGCCTGAACATCATCGACAGAATCATTATGAGGAACCACTGACAATTCTTTTAACAATTTCAACTTCTTCTTTGTTGATGTTTGCCTGTCTTTCTTTTTCCCTCCACATCTCACAACTAATCCTTCTGATCCATAGTAGTACCTCAAATGCCCTTTATCTCTAAACCCAGTATGAGCCTTGCTTACAACTCCAAACCCATTCACAATTCTTCTGGATCTCGAAAAAGCTTCACTACGATTCTGATGATCGCCAAACCCACTGCCCCCAGGGAAACAGGGTGGCTGACGGGAAATAACACGTGACACCTCCATAAATTTTGGCAAGGTTAGCTAGATTGGATTACCTTTATTTCTCAATACTTTCTGTTTCGCTTCCTTATGCAAGCAGGGGAGGGGTAGAAGAGGTGGCTGGGTTTCAACCGTTTCTTTCCACGTGGAAGGAAATGATTGGACATAGATGACGTGGCGTTTGGTTTTGGCGGGCTCGTGAAGGTTTTCGGTTGCCACGCTTTGTCTTTCTTCAGACACGATTATGAGTTCTGTATCAGCTGTTGGATTATTTTTTGGAGATCGTACGGCCACAATTGAAGACAAGTATGGACACGTGTATTGCCGCGTAGAGACACAACTGAAACATGTGCTCGATTTAAGACACTCATGACCACGTGTATTGCCACGTTGAAACAAAATTAACACGTGGGAATTCGAGGTCAGCTTTTTTATCTATGGATATATGAAATCCCAGAATTAACCTTGGGTGCATTATTATTTCTCCTGCGAGCGTCTCCAATCCATATGTGAAATGACGTGTCTCCAATTATTATTATTATTATTATGTAAAGGGGGTTTTAACTTAAATATTTTGAGGGGAGAGAGAGAGAGAGATACCTGTTGAACTAATTTAATAAGCTTCACTGGTCATTAGTATTAGGGGTGTTTATTTTCGGTTCGGTTCGGTTTTTATCAAAAAAAGTAACCAAAAAGGAAAAAA